GGCAAGAATTAAAGTAGTGGAAAGCATTTCAATTGGAACCCTTACTGATTTTAATCATTTTCAGTGGTGCATAAATTAAGTAGCAAAAGTGGGTCAGATTTTTCAGCTTCATTGATATTCCATGTGTCAAATACATCTTTACTTGATATTAATGCTAGCTTAGACTCCAATAATGAAGTGGTCAGATTAAAACAAAACCACAATGCCTCTTGGCACCAAGCAGCAGCAAACTATTACTGAATATTGACAACTGTTATCACTCATCTCTCTAAAACTATTGTGAACTGGCAACTGTGTATTCATTTTTAACCATGAAGAATGTTTCTGAATATGAAGTCTGTCTCTCAAGTCTCAAGGGGAAGCATCAACCGGCAGGATCCACTATGTTAGGCACGGACCGTAGAAACAAGAGGCCAGGGTTATGGTGGACTTGGCTTGAGCTGTCCTGAACATGCCAAAGTCTGGCGGGAAGTGGGGCTACAACGAGGGGTGAGATGGCTGAGGGGGCCTGGGGGGCTGAGGAGAGCTGAAGGGTGAAAGTCCACAGCATCGCAATAAAAGGGTTCTCTGGAATTATAACACAAGATATAATAATCAAACCACTGAAACCTTAGCAGAGTGTGATTCTTTTATCATCTTTATTTGTTTTCTTGAAGATAGCAAACTGACAGTCATGGTCCACATCATTTATTAAACAGAAAATCTGGTGATGAGAAAAATGAAGCCCAGCTTTATAATGAAAAAATCACCTTTAGATATCAAAAGTTTGGGATGGGCTATAATCACTCAAAGGTTATTACAATATTTTTTTTTAATTTATTGCAGTAACAATAAAAATATTTTATGTTTTCCAAAGTATTTATAGCTTTTCACCACAAATAGTGCTTTATAAGGAAATAAAAAATGCACCCAAGATTAAAAAGGCTACTTCACCATACCAGTTGCATAAAATAGGGCAATTGCTCCACCTGAAAGCACTTTAATTTGAGGCTGAATCGATTTCTCAAGTGATTCGAGTACCTTGATTATTAAAATTCCTCAAGGAAAATTCATCTGCCTCCAAGCTTTATTAAGTTATATTTTATTATTTAATGCACCGTGTTCTGGACGGGTTATTACTTGCGTTGCCAACGCGCTCACTTCCGCCTGAGTTTTGACAAAAGCTAAGTGTTAGCGGTATAACGTCCAGTTTTCAAGTTCGAACTGGGAAGATTTTATTGATTGATGATTATGTTTGGGTCTTTGTTTTTGTTTTCAGAGGACCAATAAGCATTCTTAAAATGACTGGCGCGATGCCTGGAGTATGGCAGCTTTTCTCCTCCCAGAACTGCAGCCTGATGGCGATTCAGGGCAAACAGAAGGGAAGATCGCTGCAGGTGTATATATACAGGGGAGCAGATAGACTGAACACAGCGGGCGGCTGCGCATTAGATGATTAATGTAAGTGTAACTTTACGGACGAACCGGAAAATTTATTTCATATCACTCCAGTTGCAACAAATGGGTGGCAGAGCACAATGTGGCGGCATGTAGCTGGTAGATGAGTTTCTGTATGTGACAAACAAAAGGTCTCAAATCCGGTCGCTAACATAAACACAAAATCTATAAATGTCTGGCCAAGGTCAGAGTTCATCTATTAAACTGACTGAAGATGAACGCATACATGAAAAGCTGTACGATAGACATTTTTATAAGCGTATTTGTGAGCCTGTCTCTTTATTATTAAATTTAATATAACTTCAAATTCTTGTAGAACTTTTCCTATACAAGAAAAGTTAACTTAGAAAGTGAGCTATTATTGTTATAGGTTAATTTTCTAAACTACGGAAAAGTTATTGTTAGGAAGCTCAAATGTGAAAAATTGTGATACTAACAGTTATGTTAGATTTACCAGGGTTTTATTTGACTTTTTCTTTATTATCCAATTACTCAATTAATCGTAAGAATGATCGATATGTTACTCAATTAGTAAAATATTCGTTTACAACAGTCCTACTTTAATTTCATTAAAATCATTTTTTTAAATTCAACTGAGTTGAATTGAATTGAATTGAATTGAATTGAATACATCCTTTCTCACGGTAGAAATTTTCTGCGTGACTGTATCAGTCACTCACTCGTACAGTCACACATTCTGGTTAACTATTCCTTTCAAAACTGCTTGAAGAAAAGAAAATTGGCAGAATGTTGGTTGCAGAGCAACCTAAAGGTGCCTCCACAGCTTTTCATTCAGCTCATGTCTAAACAACAGCTGCAACTGCAACAACTCTTTCAATTATATGTAAGAAACATCTAGAAATTATGAAAAATGGCACAAATTACTTGGTCAAGTAGACCAAGTAATTTGGCTTTCAGTAGCTTTCACTGCTGAAAGCCACTGGAAAACTAACGCACAACAAAAAAAAAGTGTGTATAGCCCTGAAGGAATTCACACAAGTGTGTGTACATTTATTTAAAAAGCAAATCTGCTTCATCTTGACAACTCTCTACACCTGTTCCCATTTTATAATGTACCTATAGCACTAAACAGCTCACTGCCTCTGTAACTTAAAGTAAAATAGGTGGGAGGGTAGAATCTGTAAATGATAAGAGTCAACTAAGCCTGTCACTATAAGCAATTAATCAATTAATTGCATAATAAATAAAAATGAGCCTGGCCATTTGGACAACATTAGTTAAAGACTTTAATGTCACTGTAATGCTCCCATTTTGAAAGATTTGACACCCAGTACAAAGTAGTTCGTTTTTGCACAACCTGCCACTTTTGCCTGATTTCCCTCTCGAAGCTGAGTGATTATCATTTTTCAAAATGTAATTTTGGTTTTAGTGACACCATAATCCATTTTAATTATTGTTTTTATTGGTTGTTTATTTCAGATATTTCAAATGTCTTGGAGTTAAATGTGTTTTAGAAAAAAATAATTTGAGTGCATGTACTCATATAAGCATGTCATTTTTATTTACATTAGTTGCAAATTGTCTCAAACAACTACATCATAATTTATCGCATTAATTTCTGGAAGAATGTATCATCCAAAAAAATTGTAACAAGCTACAGTCAATGCCAAGCAAAAGTGACAATGGTATCTAATGTTCCATATCTTCCTGAACTCCTATAAATATATCAGTTACTTGGTCCTCATATAAAGGCTCACAATATGTACATCCAAAACAGACCTACAAGATATTAAGAAAATACTAAATTTTTACCATTATTGTTATATATTCCGGTGTTTCTTTTTATTACGTTTGACCAACTTTTTTCCTTTTTTGCAATATTGTGATTAAATATTACAAACATTGATACTGTGATGAATTGTTATTCAGTATCTTGTGTATCTCTACTTCAGAACTATATGATGATCAAAGTCTGGGTGGACATTAGATTGAATCAACAATGATGTTCTATGTAAAACCTGCTCTTTAAAGATTACTGCATTTTAAGGGAATTATAGGAATTCAAAAAATTCAATGACAATGGCAAAGGACTGTTTGGGTGCAATATTATAATATATGTGTTGAATGCAATAAAACCATAAGCAGGTATAGACAGTTTATGGATGGAATATTTAACCATTTCTAAAGTTAACACAATACTGTTTACTGGTTTGCATTTAATCGAAACGTCTTAATAGCTGCAAGAAGGGTTGTAGATACTACAGAGTTAGCCTATTTGAGAGAACAGCAAGTAAAAGGTTATTGTTGAAAGAAAGTCTTGTTGTTTACCACAACTCATGTAGAAATTAGTTGAACTGATCAAATGAGGCCAAAATATAACTTTCTGGATTAAATATAAAAACCAACACTGCACATCACCTTGAACACACCATCCTGACAACAAAACATAGTGGCAGCATCGTGCTAAAAGCCAAACAGAATCTATGGGAAGTTGGGTGGAACTAAAAATATGGTGCTCCTGGAGGAAAACTTGGTCTTGGCTATAAGACTTGAGACTGGGGTAAAGGGTCACCTTCCAATAAGAAAACAACCAAAAATATACAATGACAGTTATGCATGCTCACTTGTTAAAATCAGTCAAAGTTCAGATCTACATCTGTATAATAATCTTTGGCAACACTTCAAAACTACTAAAAAGAGAAGTGCTTTCTATACAATTTAAATTTGTTTTTTTGCAAATAGTATAGAAAAAACATTGAACTTTTACAAATGAAGAGCAAATAGAAAATCCCCCCAAAAGTACTGAAATTGAAGCACAAGGTGATTTATGCAAAGTATTGACACCTTAGGCCAGAGTAAATATGGGTGTCACATTTTTCATACTTTTATCTGTAGAATTATTTAACAACAAAGCATAACTGTTCTTTTTGCTCATCAAGTATGTGCTACTATGTGTTGGCCTGTCACATAAAATCCTAATAAAACACACACAAAAGAAATGCTTTTTCTTATGCTTTTTCTTACAGCGTAAAAAAAAAGTTCAACAGGTATGAATATAATAACTCTACATTAGCTTCTCTATCTCCATCTCGACTCCAGCCTTTATGAGACTCTAACTTGTGTTTTACTGCAGTCTCCCAGAAGACTGAAAACGTCCAGGAATGAGACATTTTACACACCACCTAAAATTTATACAACCATATTTCAACCATCTGCAAAAACATGTCAGACTACAGAAATCTGATAGCCTTGATTCCTTTTTTTACTTTATTTTTTAATTTTTTTATCCAACTGCGTATTTGGATTTAAGGGGATTTGCACACCAGTCCTTGCTGCGGGTAAGCAGACATACATATGTGGAATGTGGAGGGATGCATCTGTCTATAACAATAACACACACATACACACACACAAGGAGAGAACAACAAGGCTGGCTTCGAGGCCAAAATGCTAGATGGATCTGTAATGTAGAGTACCATGATGTCTCTATGTAAACACAAAGCATAGTGCTGGAAAATACAGCTTGTTACACAGGCAGCATGATGAAAAAAAGTCAGTGGTGCGTTTAAGTGTCACTAAGGAGAGAGGGAGTTTGTTCTTACCTGATGTGGCATATCAACCTTCACTTTGTGGAGTTCCAAAGGGGGGCCCAATTTTTGAAGCCAGGTCGCCGAATTTCCCAAAACAATTAAGCTGAAGGCAAGGTTTTTCAGCAACTTCGTCGCGGTTAGCAGAAAAAACGTTTCCCTCCGTTTCAAAGCAAGACTGTCAAAAGAAAGGAAAGAAGAGATGAATTAGAAGGGCTACCTGGTGGTCAGAGATGGTGGGGGATGGGGATGCTGACGTCCCGTCATTTCATGCACGGGCACAGCGTACCTTTAACGTGACTGTAAATCTGACCACCCACTGGTTGCTTTGTTGGATCATTAGCCGCAAAACACAACAACAACAGAAACCCACTCTGGGAATGAGGTTTTGGAGCTTTGTTAAGGGTCATGTGGACACACGCTCACCCATACAACACTTTCATTCAACCAAAACTTTCAAGTTGTAGCTATAATTGCCCGCTGCTGGCTCCCCTAGCTCACTGCGCAATTTTGAGTAAAAAAAAAATGAATAGTGAAACCATAACAGCGGTGTGACACAAACACACGAGTGGGGGGAAAGCTTGTTTAGCAGCAGGCTACACAGACGTATCCATTTGCGACACGAATTAAGTCCGGTTGCGAGAAGAATTGTCCATGTGCCAGGACGCACGGCCATATTTATTTGCTACATTTATAAGGAGTTTTTTTTCCATCCTTCCCCCCTCTGCGCGCATATACACAGAACCAAGACAGAACAACAATGCAGTCTCAGAGATAAGCTAGCAGCCAAAAAGAAAGAGAAAAGCTGAGTTCAGCTACCAGCAACGGTATGTTGAAAATGTCCCCCGAAATTATCCCAAGCTGTGTGTAAATGTTACAGATGCGCGGCGGCTGCGGGGCGCTTTTCCCCGCCTTGACAGAACGGAACGGGGAGAAGCGCTCGTGACATCGTTATATCACAAATATTGCACGCGGCCAGAGACCAATAACAACAGCTAATGTTAACAGCGGCTGCACACTTTGCTGGCCTCACCACCAGCAGCCCCTGTGCTTCTACGCACTTCTCTGCAACACGAAACGACAGGGTGCGTTAACTACAGTGCCACGACAGCGATAAGCTGTCGTGGCAGCTTATCGCTGCCCCAGCTTTCAGAAAGTGCAAAAAAAACTTACATTAGTTCACGCGAAGAACAACGTTAGCTTACACTCCGTCAGTTCAATTTTTTTAATCTGTATCGCCACAGATGGACAGCACTTCTACATAGTCCCGCCCCCACCATTTCCCAGTCAGGCATATCTATACATATATATTATTCTCCCCTGTATCCAATCACAGCACACCACTCTGGAATGGCGTGCACTCCCATTGGCGTATTCGCCTGCCAATCAAATTCTGAGATTTTTGGTCGTTCCCACTATATAGGGGTGTGTCGTGACGTACCGGATTGCCTGCTAGAGCACATACATTTAAAATGTATATATTAACCTACATTCTTATTTCTTCGTGAGAAAGTGATTGCCTAACGGCCTCTATGTGCTTTAAAGACTTTACTAATTAGCTTAAACATCCTATATGTTAAAAATTGTGCACGTTTTCAAATCCTTTTATGCTTTTAACCATCTTTTTGAAGACATACACTGCATTAATGTTTCTTAACTTTTCTACTCACCTTAGGTCTTTATCAGATTTGATCAAAAAGAGTAAAAAACACCATCTCAAAATAACTCAAGCTCAGCCAGTCTGGTTGGAAAAAATCTGGGAATGACAATTTTAAAGTCTTATTTTATGAGTTTGTATTTTGTACATTTTCTAAACTGCTCCTTCGTCGCTCATTAGGTTTATCAGGGGATGTTCTTTGTAATTCCCATTACCATGTTTCACAGTGGGGATGGTATGTTTTTAAAAGATTGTGCAATGTTGGCAATGTCGTGTTTTATTATTTTACATTTTTTCTACCATTTCACTTCCTAATAGTTTTAGACATATTGTTTAGAAAAATCTTCACCACAAGCTTTTTGTATCTTTCACATAGGTTGTGGTCAACTTTAATTTGATTTTGACTGTGTTGTTTTTTTTGTTTGTTTGTTTGTTTGTTTGTTTTTTCAAATGTCACACCAATATTATTTTGTCAAATGTGCATCCCAAAAAATCACAATCAAGTGTGTGGTTATAACCTGATGGAAAATGAAAAAACAAATCAAGCAGTGTGAATTCTTTTTGCAAAAACACTGTTAATGCTTTATGCCACACAAAGTTTAAGTAATTAAAAAACAGGGGAAACATATACAGTGCTTTTACTTTCCATTTTACTGTTAAGCATGCTATGTGATGCTATATTTCTCACAATGAATTATTGATACTTTACCTATCCATAATATATGAAAGTTCCAGCATGCTTATCTGTGTCTCTCCGGCCTTTTTGTACTTGAAACTACAGTAGTGGTAACCGATAGTACAGATTCCACATGCTGAAAGCAGGACAGGTTAGCAGAGAAACCCTCTTAGCAACCAATTAGGCTGTCCATGGCGTATACATTGAGACACAGCAGACCCAGTGGAGGAGTTCAGCGGGAATGATAGGACTCAGTGTGTCACCCTGCAAGATCATATCAAAGCCCATCAATCATCACGTTACCCGCTCTGTAATTAGTAGTGATTCCTCCTATGAAGCCATAACTCTTCTCCAGGGGGATTAAAGGGCAGCCAGTAGCATTGAGAAAATCCCTCTTTTGTCAGTCTTTTAAGATAAATTACATTAATTTGTAACAAAAGAAAGAAGCTACAAGAGGGGACCTGTAAGTGTTATATAATTTCCTTCATTAAAATGAAGCAATTATTGAAATGAGTATGTAACCAGATTTGTATACCCAATGTATAAAAAGATGTAATATTTTTCTTTAATTTCTTTTCACTAATTTAATGTCACATTAAATCAATGTCATCTAATTTAAAGTCACTACATTAAATTAGACTAACCTTACCTGTTTTAGGTTAGTTAAGACTACCACACTTATTTTTATCTTCTACATAGAAAACAAATGAGAGAAAAATGTTATATTGCCTTTGTAAAATTCATTTAAACATTCTGGGAAATCCCAGACAATGCAGTAGTGATGTAGATAGTTTTCAACATTTCAGCTTAATGAATCAAAACTAGTGGATGTATCTGAAGGCAACACATACTAACACTGTTTCCATTTCACATCACAGTATATCCAACATTAGCCAAAAAAAAATTAAATATTTAAATTATTACTATTATTGCTTTTATCATCATAGTAACAAAAACAGACACATTTTGACAGTTTTCTCTATTTTCAAGGAAAAAATGTGTGAAAGTACAAAATTTCCACAACAGAATGAGAGTATTGATCAAGATTTTTTGTTGTTATTGTCATTATTGTTTGTTTTTGGGGTTGAAAACTTGCCTTCTTCTCTTTACTTACTATTAATGTGAAGTTCAACACATTAATAGTCAATGTGTTGAGATGTGAGATGTCTTTTGTCACATTTCTTTGATGAAAGAGATGTGTTTATTCTCTTTTGTCAAACTTTGATGTTATTATTTATTGTAAAACCAAAAGATAGAAAAAGAAAACTACTAAAAATGTATTAAACCACTTTACACCAATTCCACATCGTTATCCTGAGTAAGGTCATACAGAAAGGAAGAAGCTAATATTCCAAATGCAATGTAAAAAGCCAGATTTGTGTAAATAAATACAAAGAGCTGAAAAAATGGTTAATTAGCTACTCTCACAAATAAGTAAATATTTGTAAGCCTTTAACTAAACAAAAAATAAATAAATAAATTATATCTCACTATTCTGGCAGCAAGTAGAGTATAAATATTTCAGTATTGCTAACTGAACTTCAGTAGTAAACACTGAAAATGACTGAATGTCAGACAGAAAGGTTATGTGGATTATTTTTATACTGTCCATGTACGTCTCTGGTTTTAACCGTGAGATCTGTTTTACGGTTTTCATGGATTTATTTTGAAACCTTGAATTAGTTTTTTATACAATGAAAAAGAAGGCTTGAAAAAGAAAAAGTCATTGCTACAATATAAACAGTTGTGTTATTATTATTATTATTTTTTTTATCACAACAGTCCTTTCCAATTCAAACCCTAACCCATGATTTTTAGACCTTCAGAATATCATTTCTATCGCCTTTGGCCAGAATATGTCTGGCACTCACACCCGGTCCTGTAAAATTAAAACGGCATGTATGACTGCACAACCATTCATAAGGAATGACAACCATGTGGGAGAACGGTTTGTTCACATATCTTTCTTCTTTTTTGAAAAGATTCCCATTGTTGTGGAACAGCAGTGCTCTTTCATGACGGGAATGTCAGAGCTCCTTGGTGAGACAGCAGATTTGCAGATTGACTTGTTTCTGGCCCCTTTGCAGCTGTCATGTTCTTTATTATGTTAATCATGTACAACTGAATGGACGTTAATTAGCATGCATGGTTTTTGTTAAAGATGTGCATTAATCCAGACAGTTAGATCTAGGTAATATTTCCCAGTCAAAATAAAAGTTATTTAATTACAGAAAGCAGAAATAGCATTTGTGAAAGTGTTTGAAATGTTTTCTTTGTAATTTCAGACTACTTGTTATGCATGTGTGCGTGCGTGCGTGCGTGCGTGCGTGTGTGTGTGTGTGTGTGTGTGTACATACATATATGCGTGTGTGTGTCTGAGCTCAATGTTTTCCCTTGCAGCCTGCTTGTGTGTACATGTGCTGGAATCTAGGCCATCCCTTGTGGCTTTTTGTCTGAGAGGCAGATCGGTCTATATATGAGGGGCTCATGGGCGTGTTTCTGTTTGGGGTGCATGCGCAGATGGAGGGAAGGGGTGGCGACTTCATTTTCTTCTATGGTTCTATGGTTCTACATAAAACATACAAAGAAATACAGAGAGAGTTTTGGGTGTTAGAGATAATTTCACTGTCCTGGAGTGTTTCCAACAACAGAAAGAGGAGACAGTCTGACTGAACACACACTCGAACACACACTTTCTCTGCAGCTCTATTTTCCCTCACTGGAGGGAGAGAGATGGAGAGAACTAAGAATCTCTCCATCTTGCTCCAAAGCCAGACTCCAAAAACCACCGCCTTTTTCTTTCCAACTCGCTGGGTGAGTCGAGGAAACAGCTGGAAAAGCAAATAGTTGCGAGCAGGCCCGAGTTCTCCGTGGCCCGCTCGCTGGCTCTCAAACATGGCAGCATTTCAGTGGGAATGAATGCAGTCTTCACACTGAATCTCTCTGCTGCATGCAAACATCAGGAAAACCAGAGCGACGGCAAAAACTGGAGAGAAACTCCTGAAAAATACACATCTGTTTTGACCTGGATAGATAGAGAACGAAAAAGGATTAAAATAAAGTCTTAAAATACAGAGCAGCATTTGACAAATATAGTTTTGAATCACAGTCACATGTGCAGCTGAAAGATTTACTACAGTGTCGTCTGCATGTGGAATGGATTTCTACAGGATGCACACAGAACAGTAATTATTTAACCAACTCATTACCTGACAGAATGGTGCAAACACCTTGAATATTTTTTAATACAAACTCTAGCACATTTTACCAAAATTTAGTATGATGAACCAACAACAAAAAAGATTTTGTAGTTGTAACATGGAATAAAAATCATATATTCAGAAATGTGTGCCCCCTAAGCTAATTCTTGTAAACCACATTTGGCTACAATTACAGCTGTAAATCTTTTGGAGAATGTCTCTGCCAGGCTTATGCAACGAGAGACTTAATTTCCCCATTCTTCTTGTTGATATTATGGATACCCTGAGCATCTTCTTCATGAGACTGTTAGAAAGTCAGAGGGTCTTCAGTCAGAGGCTTCTTCCAATTTGATGTTGT